TTTTTTTTGTAAGCTTCTTGTTTTTCAAAATTATACTTTTTATAGACTAGCAAAAACCTTGTTTTTTCTAATTTTTCATATTTGGTAGATTCTGCAATTAAGCGTAAAAAACAATAATATATTTCCTTGTCGGCATTTGCGCATGGTAATTACAGGGTATCGTCAAGTATACTGCCAAAACTTAGTTACGTTATTCTTTTAGCATACTCTAGAATTAAATGTTTCTAGATTTAAGAGCAAAAGTTCTAGCAAATAATAAATCCAGAAAAAAAGAAATGAACCATGAAAATTTAAAATGCATTTTTAGTTTGAAGACTTGTATTTCTCAAACAGCGTAATTGGAAACAGAAAACTAAAAAAAGAATGGTAAATTTCAAATCGCTATAAACCAATAAAAAACTTTTTTAGTTTACTTCGTTACCACCGACATTTACCTTCCTGAGAAAATACTAAAGTAATTAAATGTTTGTTCAGAATCGCTGCTAGTCAAAGAATTTAAAAGAATATATATCTACATGGCTTTATCACTGAGTTTTAAATATTTTTTGGAGACTACCATAAACAAAAAAAAAGTAACCTGGCTTATTGCTAAATGTTATCTTCTGAAAGTTCTAATGCTTAACCTTTATAACACAAATTTAATAACAAAAGAAAGAACATGATTGATGTAAACCGATATTTGTCTTATTAAGCATTGTTGCTTATGCTATCTTATTTTGCTGTCAAAAAAAAAAAAAAAGAATTTTCAATGTTAGTTATAATTTAAAACCTTCAATTAGAGTTTAGCAAAAGTTCGATTTTCAGTGTGTGACAAGTAAAATTTATCAATGGTAGAATATAACTGTATCAGAAAAGTATTCCAAATAGGTAAAATTTGCTTAAATGATTACTCTGTAATGTTGAGACTGAGAGAAAATTTTTGGATTTGAAAATTATATTACAAAACAGTCAGTGATAAGCAATTAGCGAATAATGGAGAGTCAACGACAATGACAGTGATAATTATAATGCTGAAAGAAGGAATGAAAAATAATACTTTAGTATTCATCAGTAAGTGGTGTCAAATTGTCTCACTTTAACTGTCACATTCAGGTTTTATTTAGCTATTCTTTGCTTATCTAATCATCATTCCAGCAGTGCTTAAAAATTAACTAAGTAATGGTGGCCATACGTTTGTACTACTGTGATATAGTCGTTAAGGTATTTTCTAAGTAAAAAAACTTCTTTAAAAGTTTATGAAAAGAGAAAACTATGAAAAACTTAAATAGAATAGTGATAGAAAAAACTATCTAAAAACCTCGTTTACTGATTATGGTTCTATTCTTAGCTGTTGCTAAAGAAGAGAAACTGCAAAAAATTCATACATTT